TTTGAATCTTCTTCCTTGAGCTTGCAGAATTTGAAGATTTCAGAAACCTGCAAACAAAATTGACATTTACCAAACCCTACAGGTGACGATTGGATGGAAATGCGTCTGTCAAAGAAAATGGAAGAGCAGATTGCCATGAAGTAAAGATGAGATTTGAAGTTTCCATACCTCGAAGGGTTTTGGCTAATTTATGACAAAAATTCAAAAGCAGACGTATGATGCTTGCTCATCAGATTCCCCTTTCAAAACACATTTTCAAATCATTTATTTATGCAATAACACTCAGCTTCAAGAGCTTTTTCTACTTTAGATGTTGGAGGAAAATGTTTTACTAGATCAGAAAACACTTTCTATAAAGGATATAAAAAATATATATATATATACAAACGATATTATATAAATGAAATATTTTAAAATATAATGTCATTAGAAAATAATAAGTTACTAATATATTTACATTATATGTATAGTTACATTTTATAAAATAAATTATATATAAATACATGATATAATAAATCTTTTTTCCTATCATTATATTTTTTCTATCTTTTTTTTAAGTGGTCAATTAATTATATTTAATATTATTCTATATATGCTGGATAAACTTGAAAAAGAACAGTATGAATTAATAATTTTTCTACTTATTTTTCATAACTCACTTAAATATTGAAAAATATTTTTACTAACTCATTTTTTATTATACCAAAAAAATAATTCGCTTCCATTTCCCATTAAAATTACTTTAAAAAAGAAACAACTTTTTGCAACAAGTCTCGAAACTGTGTTCGGCTTCGTCCTTTTGACCTTTGAACATCCAAGCAATATTTTACAAGTTGAAAAAATAAATAAATGAAGCACTGCAGGACTCTCAAGTTTTGGTTATTATTTTTGTATTTTAAAAGTATTTTTGTATTTTTTAAATTAATTTTTATATATTTTAAAATTATTTTGATACATTGATATTAAAAATAATTTTAAAAAATAAAAATATTATTATTTTAATATATTTTCAAATAAAAAATATTTTAAAAATTAATCACAATTACACCATCAAACCCCTTCTATCCATTTGGCTCCCCTCAATTCCCATTCCAATAAAAAAACCAACCCTATGAACTTCATTTCCTTCAGGTCTTTATCTCTTTCTCTTCCAATATTTAATAGAAAATATATAGGGAATTAGCTTGTTTTTTAATTTAACTATAGAGACAGTTTAATATGAATTACTACAATAAAATTATTATTTTGACATTGAGTGAAAAAAAATAGAAGCCTCAAAAGTGAAGGTAATTTGATCTTTGTTAGAGGTTTATTTGTCATTAAAAAATTGTTCAAGATTATTTTAGTTATTTTTAATTTTTTTAAAAATAATATAATGAATTTACCCTTAAATTCAATAAAATTTAGAATTATTAATCAAGGGTTATTTGGTCTTTTAAAAAAATTTAAATAGTAAAAATATTTATTTATCCCTAAAATCAGAAAAATTAGAGTTATTCACTAAGAGTTTTTTTAGTTTTTTTGCTTCTTCAGGTACAATAAAAATATATTTTTATCTTTAAAAAAGAAAAAAAACAAGGCATGCATTTAGGGATACTTGTGTTATTTCACTTTTTTTTTTGTAATTCTCATGGTGGGTATTTTTCTATTTTAAACTGAAAAATTATTTTTTAATTTGAAAAAACTATAACTGTGTGTTCATTACGCGCCAGCATGTAGGTGACATATGTAAAAGCATTCAGTGGGTGAACATGTCTTTTCATTGTGTCTTTAAAAAGTCTCATCATATCCTTTTTATGATGATATCATATGTGGTGGTGAACGATGGATGGTTAGTCATTGATAGTTTTTTTTTTGTATAAAAAAATATATATTTGTTTTTTTTTTTAATTTTTTAATTTCAGTCATTATATTTTTTATTATTTATTTTTATCATTGACTCTTTTTATAAAATATTTTTTTATATTTTTTATTTCATCATTCAATAAAATTTTATATTATTTTATTTTTTTCAATTTAACTCTTATTTTTTTAATTTTTTTTCTTTTGTTAAAGTTTTTCTCTTTTCAATTTAATCCCCCAATTTATTATTTATATGCCCTCTAATTTATTTTTTATTTTTATTTTTAATCTCATTCTTTTAATTATAATGTTTTGTGTAACTGATTTTGTTTTTTAATTTCATTTTTTGATAATTGATTTATTGAGAATTGAACATCATAATTTCTTTTTGAGGCGATTTATATCTAATGATAAAGATAACAGGTTTGAAAAGTTAATTCAATTATGAATCCTTTTTTTATGATTTTTTTATATCATTTTTTATTTTTAAGATTGGTTTTATGGTTACCTTTAATTTCATTTATATCGATTTATCCCTGTCTCATAATTTAGACCACAAGTTTTGCAAGTTTTTATTGAATGAAGGTATTTAAAAAAAAAATATTTTGTTTGAATTTAATTTTTAAAGATTTTTTTTTATTTTATGTAGATGAGTTTTATTTTATATAAAAAAATATTTATTCTAATATAATCAGTCTTGTATAATTTTTTTCTTGTATTTTATTCAATTAGTTTTGTATGTATTTCTATTTTTATTATTTTTTATTGATCTTAATATATAAATTAAGTATATATAAATGAATAAATATCTTATCTTACAAAATTACATATCTTAATCTATATTATTCTCTCAATTCTTTTTATTTTTCTATTATCAATTTGTTTAATTTTATATTTTCATAAACTTTTTAATTTATTTTTTGAATTTTTTATGTGAAAAAACATATCAAAATGTACCACATACCTTAAAAAAAAATTATGACATGTCAAAGCACCAGTCAAGTATCAGTCTGTATATATATTCATTGAAATCCCAGGAAATCTCTCTCTCTAACAAATTGAGCTCCAGTTTCCAAAGAAAGTAACACATGTACCAAAGAAATAATGTTATTCATGACTATCAGGAAGAAAATGTGGATATTTTCTTTTAACATCTCTCGTTGTCCTTCCAAACCAAAACTTGTCCCTTTTCGTTATGGAGTTCACGATCATAGCTAAAACAACAACAAAATTCACCAACACAGCTGTTAAACAACAAAACTTTCCTCTCTAAAATCATTCTTTCTGGTTCGCTCCAACAACTCGACCTCCAGGCCTACCCTTCTGCACTTTTGGCTCATAGACTAGACTTATAGCACACCACAAGCATATTTATAAATATTCAAGAACATGCTTCTGTTTCCAACGGTTGACTACTAGTTTAACTCTCAACTCTTTATCCGGGTCTGGTTATATCAACACGTTAGATCCGTTTCCGCATAGCTTAGAGGGTTTTTGGTGATGTTTTGGGAGGAGGACGATGGTATCGCAAGCTTTGGTGTTGGATGTTGAGAAAGGAGAACTATTAAAAGCGCCTGCAAGAATTGGGAAGATGGGGATATCTGAGGCCAAGGCTTTCGCAGCTTTGAAGAGCCATAGCGAGGCCGAGAGGAGGAGGAGAGAGAGGATCAATGCTCATCTTGCTACTCTTCGCGGTCTTGTGCCCTGCACTGAAAAGGTTAGCATATGTGTTGCCTTACTGTTTTTAGTTTTTGTCAATTATTTTTCTCTTGGTCAAGATCAATTATCTTAATATGTTTATACAGTATCACTTCATTTTGAATCATCCGCTTGAATGTTTTGTTGCATGTCTATTAACGTTTTGCTATAATTTTTTCTCAAAACTGCTTGATTAGTTTAATCAGATGGATTTTGGCTGGTGTTCATGCCTTTTATCATTAATTGATTAAAGCATAAATTCCCGATTGATCATAAACCAAGTACTGGTTTTTGCCTTTGTTTTCTGGTAGAAGTTTGGACCTGACGAAATCTAAAGATTGAATAATTTGATTCTTAAGGCATGATAGGGAGGACAGTCATGTCACCTTGGGAAGAAAGTAAGAAAAATACCAGCAGAAACAAACACCTCCGGATCTCAACTTCTATGAACCTTAAACAACTAAATTAGTTTGGATTTTTTTAAGGAAGATTCTTTCTTATCCAAAAACCAGTAAACTTCCCTTTAAGGCTCCCTCTATTTCTATAGCGACTGACGAGGCTCGAACCAGACTGCAGAAAAACTATGACAGGGTTTTAGAGAACCGCTGGAAAAAAAATATCATTTTCATGCCTGATAAACTCTAAATATAAAAACTATATAAGCATGACGTAATCAAACAAGCAGTTACAATGCTTGAAAATATTCATTGTTCCTGATAAAGCTTAATTAGACAGATGATCCGAACTTGTGGTGTTCGCTCACCGTTTCGCCTTGCCTCATGAAGCTTAAGGGAATTCATCAATGTGATATAGCCCTTTGCTATGGTGTTATTGGACCTTTTTTTTTCATATAAGAAAGAGTAGCTAACTTCAGCATCATGTAGATTTTATTTCAGTCAGGAGTCAACTGCATATATATTGTAAATAAAGTCAACTGTAGGGATCCTTAATCCGACATCAGAAATTAAAAAAAAAATTGCAGATTGGGATCGAGCATAGTTAGATGCTACATTAGAAGAGATATAATTAACTGATAACTTGGGGCAAGCCTTGCTTCTCATCCATAGACACTCTCTAATGAATTAGAACATTCCTCTAATCCTAACTTGGTAACCTACTAAAAGAATGAATAACATGTTATTTCTAAATGTTCATACTTCTAATTGAATTAGCTACGCTGTGTGTTGATGATCAATAAGCCAGGCTTGATGAGATTGTGTAGCAGCATTTATGTTCTGGCTTGGTACCCTGGTCCTATCACCTATAAATTCCATTTGCAACCAAGATTTTTATCTGATGATCTTATAGTTGTTTAACAAGAAGGGGAAAAAAGCACATGTTGATTCTAGAAAATGAATCAATATTTCAGAGTCAAAGCTATTGTCGGTAGCATATGACACATGGACATATATATATATATATATATGAACTGGTAGATTGGTGATTAATGACAGGATCGTTTGGATGGTGGGGCACTATGCCAGCTCCAGTATCATGGATCCCACCATGAGGTGGTTTTTGAGTATTTAGATGTTTGATGTCTTAAATTTATATTTATTAGCTTCTGGAATATGACATTTTTTCTTGATCGTATAATGTATATTAATTTATGGTTGGAACTTCAAGCATGAAATAGACATCTGGGACAAGAAAAACCACTATTTTTTAAATTCTCAAGCTTAAAACATGACAATATCAATAGGGGATATAATAAGATTTCTTTCAGAGCCATTTTCCTTTTCTTTGTTTATTTTCTGTCATTTTCATATGTGAAATTGCAAATATTAACAAAGTCAACAAAATCATTTATTTACCTTATCTTATTGTCAATTGAACTGTTTTCAAATAAAAATTCTGGACGAGAGTTATCTTAGCCTATAAGCTATAAGCTTTGATTGAAATCAAAGCAGTGGCTGAATGAGTCGTGTTTTTTCTTAATTAACCAATTTACTTTTTCAGGAAACATTGACATATGAAGCATCTCTTTCTGTTATGTCGCTGCTAGTACGTATATGTATGCGGTTGACTGCATGTAGTTTCGCCTGCATTTCTTCTTAACCCCATGTAATTTAATGAATGTTCGTGGTAATTCCTATTGCTGGTTCTCACTTTTATCTTTGCGTTTGATTGATAATCGCAGATGGACAAGGCCACATTGCTTGCTGCAGTCATTAGCCAAGTCAAAGAACACAAAAAGAATGCATTAGAAGCCTGTAAAGGTCTTCTTGTTCCAATGGATGATGATCAAGTAAAAGTGGAGACATATTTTGACGGGACTTTGCATTTCAAGGCATCTATCTGCTGTGACTATCGACCTGAGCTTCTTTCCGATTTACGAAACGCTATTGATGCTCTTCCTTTGAAAATGGTGAGCGCAGAAATATCAACCTTGGGAAGCCGGCTAAAGAATGAGTTCGTACTCACCGACAGAAGAAATAAGAATGCTTTAGATGATGCTGGGGCAATACAGCTTCTTACAAATTCTATCCATCAAACCCTAACATCTGTCTTGGAGAAAGGTTCTGCCTCACAAGAATACTCACCAAGGACAACACTTCCAAACAAGAGGAGGAGGGTGACTTTCTTTGATTCCTCGAGCTCGTCTTCTTAAGAGCCAAAAATCTTGTTGCTGCTGGTGCATGTTGATGATGGCAAGTATTATCTTGTGCAAAATGGGAAGACTTCTTTCTGATTGCTGTACATATTGGATGATTGATGCCAAAGATGCTGCTGCTGCTGCTGCCAAGAGGAGTATTGGAGGCGGTATCATCTGTTTGTTTATTTCTTCTTATTGTTGATATTTGCAAGCAGTAGCTCCCACCACCACTTGGGGCTAGCCTCAAGGCCGATGAGGTTGTATCATGTTTGTAGTTGTAATTATGGATGTTGCTTAAAACTCTTTTTTTGTATGTGTTTGTTTATTATTTTGAAAGTATTTTTAAAAAAATTAATTTTTAGTTTTATTTTTTATATTTCAATATTATTTTAATATGATATATCAAAAATAATTTTATTAAAATAAAAAATATTATTTTAATATATTTTTAAACAAAATACAATTTAAACCCGTAACTATTACCTAAAAAAGACACAGAAAGCTGCAAGCGAAAGCGTGGAGTGTAGTTATTTGCAATCCAATTATGGATTATTAATTTATTTGAAGGAATAATTGAATTATATATTTTTTAATAAAGCTGTCAACTCAATATAAAGCATAAAGTAATCAAGGTTTATTGTAATAGACTGCACTTAAAATAAAATAAATTAATAAATAATAGTGTTAGTACTAATTCATTTCTTACCCAATAACATATACTTTTTTTTTTAGTCAACAAAAGTATAAATAGAAGAGGGAGTAAATAATAAATTTAGTGGAGAAAGACATAATAAAAATAAAAACAGAACATAAAAAGGATATCTCAAACACGACAGTAATTAATATCTCCTTTGTCGCCACGAGTCGCTACAACCAACTGAAACAGAAGTCTCCTTCGATAGTCTTAACCCTTTTTATGCTGCCTGTCTCCCTCCCTCCCTCCCTGTTGAAGTTACTCGAGGGCGTTTGGCAACGCGTACCGTCTTTTAAAAAAATTTAATTTTTTAATTAAAAATTTAATTTTTTATATGAGTTGAATTGTTTTGTTCCATTAATTTTAAAATTAAATTTGAAAAATAACAAAATATTATTTTAATACATTCCACACCAAAAAAAAAAACATGAAAATCCAGACGAAGGAACTTTCATTGTCGAGGCTGCTCTGTTTCCTGAGTGTAAGAGAAGCAAACAAGTTGATTCATATAAATTTTACAATCAGAGAGTGCATTATGGCTCGAGAGGAAAAGAGTGGAAATGGATGTGGTGGTTCTTCCTCTTCTACTATCCTCCAATTCGTACCCTTTAATAGCTTAGCTGATGAAGGTTTCTGGCACAGATTGTCTTCTTTGAAGCTCAACAAATATGGCATCGATGATTCTCTTATACCCATCACTGGTAATGTACTTTATCTTTGTTTTGCTTTGCATTTCCTTTTGGGTTTTCTGTAAACTTTCAAATTGCTAATGAAAATTCTTAAATTAATTTCTGTGTGATCATTCATATATTATAGCTGTAGTGATCAGTTTTTATCAAAAAGAAAAGGAGTTAAAAGGGACTGAATTTTGAGTAGGAGGCAGGTTTGGATTTTGTGTCTAATTATTTGTTAATATAGGTAATCTTTATTCTCATAAACTGGGATTTGGACTGGTCTTGTTGCAGGGTTTTATGCTCCTTGCTCACGTTCTCAAGTATCCAATCACTTGACACTTCTCGCTGAATCGTTGCCGACTGATGAGAATGATCAGTCTTCAATGCCAGCAATCAGTCGCGGTAACAGGAGCCGATGCCCTGTACCCGGGGCCCTTTATTATACAAATACATTGGAGGCCTTCCATTCCCTGGATAAAAGGATTTGCTGAAGGAGGAAGCAAACAAGGTATTTCATTTGGATTGATCTAATTCTTGAATTGTAAATGCGGGTCGTCTGTGAAATCTTATCATTGCAGTAATGGATTGACATTATCGTAAGTTGTAAGAAATTGTGATGTGACTTCTTGTTTTGTTCAAGCGAAGAAGGTATTTGATTCATATTGATCTAATTCTTGAATTGTAAATTTGGCCGTCTGAAATTTGTGATATGTGGAGGAAGATGTGATGTGGGTTCCTAGGATAAAAATGCCAAATGAAGATTCTGTTTGTTGGATAACTAGATTTGGAAAGACATTCACACTGGAAGAGCCATGGAGGACAGTGTGGTGTTATCAAGGTTCCTTCTTATCTCATTTGCAGACCCAAAAAAGTGGGGGCTTCCATTATTGGTTTGCTTTTCCTGCCTTGGTGCTTGATCCTCCTGCAATGTTGATTGAATCAAAGTGTGCTTTGGAATGGTTCACCTCAGAAGAGGTGCTTATAATATGATAATTGTTAGGAATTCGGTGTTTGATTCATTACAAATAGCTGTTTTTATCTGTTTATCAATGCTAAAATGCTATTTGTAATATGTGGGCAAAATCTGTATCAGCGGCTTGTAATGACTGGCATCACTTGACCTTAAGCGCTGGTAAAATCATTGCTTTTCTTTCAGTTCACATGTCATCTGGTCTACGAGAAAACCTAACTCCTTGATCATGGAAATCTGCTACAGATATGCCATTCTTTCTAATCAGTATTGCTTCCAATTCTCATGCTACTATAAGGCATCTAAAGGACTAGGAAGCCTGCCAGGCTGATAATCAGAAAGTCCATCTCCATAGCTCTTCCAGTTCCTTAGAAAAATAAATGGCATGTATCTATAGACAGGCAGGTTCTCATAAATTTCTCTTTATATGCTACTGTGGTAAAGTGACCAGATAGTTGGTTTTTATGACCCATCTCATGGAAAAGATCCTGGTTGGCCTCTTCGCAACTTCCTAGCGCTGATTTGTTCAAGATGTAATATGAAGAGAATCCACTTTTTATGCTACAGAGAGAATCATGGTTTTTGCGGATATGAAGTCATCCCTTGTCATCGAAGCCTTAATTACAGCTCCACAAGGTATCCTGGCAGAAATTAGCTAATACAGCTCTATTATTATTACTGTTTTGACTCCTTGCATCTCGAGTCTATGCTGAATCTCTTACTCTCTAGAAATATCTGCTTTTAGGATTGAATGATCGGCAAATAGCACTTAATGCTGTTGGATGGGAAAGAAACGCAAATAAATTAGTATCCAGATGTATTAACCTTGCTAAATCCATGGATCGAACTAGGTATTTGTTTCCTTTGCTGCTCCTTATTCATGGAAGTATCAACCTATTAATCTTATCATTTGAAATGTTTTTTACAGGTTGGCTGTATCTGCTGCGGATTTGAATTTAAAACTAATGAGATGGCGTGTTTTGCCATCCCTTAACTTTGATGAGCTATCTTCCATAAAGTGTCTTCTCATAGGAGCGGGTACACTTAGTTGCCAAGTTGCTCGCATGCTTATGGCGAGTAATTGGTTAAAAGCTTCTATTTGGTCTATCTACTCCTGATTATGTGCTAATTTGCCCCCTTTACTTTTATTTGTACTAATGCCAACCCTCTACTTTCAAAATCTCCTTTTTTGGTCCTTATTTGACTAGAAGTTCAGGTTGCCCTTAAATCATCACATTACATCTCACCATATCATGACTTGTAAAATGAAAATGGATTTGAGAAACATGTCATAATAAAATTCCATGTAACCTGGTGATTTAAGAGCAACCAAATCTTCCAGTCAAATAAGGACAAGGATGATTTTGAAAGTAGAAGGTTAACATTAGTACAGATAAAGGAACAGGGGGAAAACTAGTACAAAAGCAAGAGTAGAGGGCCCAAATAGAAGCTTTTTACCTGAGTGATATTACGAATGGATTTCATGTTCATGGTCCACAGGTTGGTTCTCAAAAATTACATATATTGCAGGCTTGGGGTGTCCAGAAAATTACACGACTTGACAATGGCAAGGTGGCTTTGTCTAATCCATTGAGGCAGTCCCTGTACACATTGGATGACTGCCTCAATGGAGGTGATTTTAAATCCTTGGTCGCAGCTAAAAGTCTCAAGTGTATATTTCCAGCTGTGGTAATTGAATTTACTCTTAATAGTTATTTTGTGTGAAAGGTTTAGCTCGATATGAATGTTGATCCTTGCTTATAGTGCATTCCTTGTTTTTTTTTCCCTCAGGATGCAGAGGTATAGTGATGTCTATACCAATGCCTGGTCATCCGGTGACTAGCCAAGAGAGGTGTGGTTGATGATTGTAACTGTCTGCATAATCTGGTTGATTCTATTGATGCAGTTCTTTTTGACTGATACAAGAGAGAGCAGATGGCTCCCAACCTTTCTGAGTGCTCATGCTAACAAGGTCAGTATTCTTAATCTGATCTGTGTGCCTATTACGGTTCTTGTGATAGTTTTCGCCAGTTCTTTCATCAAGCATGTTGCATTGATCAGGAGGATCTGTTAACCTGACTCCAGCTTGTTGGATTGGCCATTGATTATCAATTCACATATATGCTTGCAATTTGTTTTAATTATCACTTCTCAGATTACTATAACAGCAGCTCTTGGGTTTGATAGCTTCTTGGTAATGCAGCATGGCCCTGGTCCTTTTAGCTTTGCTTGTGACTTAAAAGCTGAAGCTGCAAACAATTTATCTGCTGATTTGGACAACCTTGCTCTAACTGATAGAGGGAGTTAAGAGATTGGGCTGCTACTTCTGCAATGATGTGGTTGTACCAACTAATGTAATTTACTAGAATGCGATGGAAGTTTTGTACATTTTAAGCTCGGGATTAATTGATGTACTCTTTCTCCAGTCAACTGCCAACCTAACTTTAGACCAGCATTGCACTGTTACATGTCCAGGGCTTTCTCCTATTGCTTCATCTCTTGCTGCAGAACTTTTTGTCAATGTCTTGCATTATCCTGATGGTTAAGTCTGAAAATTATGTCAATGAAGTTCATGGACTACAAAGATTTTCTATGTTTGGACTCCTCATGTTGAGAGCTCATTAAGAAAATTCATTTCTTTTCCTTTCATATATGGGCAGGATGTTTGCTGGTGGTGATATGGCAAACTCCAATAGCAGCAGTGGCAGCAGTGAACTACCTCTTGGTATTTTGCCCCATCAGATTTGGGGTTCCCTCTTTCATTTTTCCCAAATGATGCTTGTAGGCCGTTCCTCTAATAGTTGCACTGCTTGTTGTAGCACTGTAAGTTTTTGCTGATAGACTAGATAATACAATCTTACTTCTAGTGTCCATACATGTGGCAGTTCAGTGGGTAAATAAGAAGATATACTTCTCTATTGCAGGTAG